CGTCCTATGTGAAATGGATCATTGCATAGGTCCAGAAAGAAAAAAAAACGGGAAAGACAGACATGGCAGGTAAATAGCCTGGAACAGAACCACCTTAATCGAATCGGACCAGAATAGGCTCAACCGGGAAAGGTTTGGTTCCTCCAGATTGGGACTGGGCTGGCCTAGGCTTTATGTTTAAAAGCAACACACGGGGTACAAATTTGGTTTAGAACCAGAAATATGGATGACCTTTTTTTCATTTTTGATGTTTGACGCAAGATGAATATCCTTGATGTTATTTCCTTGAAACTGTTTTCTTTGTTATAACTTGTAAGTTTGTATGTCAAACTTATATCATATCATATAGGGTATATAGGTAACAATTCATTGACACATTTTATTGGATCACCATGCCCGCAGGTGCCTCTATATGTTGCAACAAAAATGATATCCACGAGAAGATCGTCGTTCTTCATTCCATCCCCAGACGGTTACGCTAAGGCAGCCTTGCGTTGTATAGGTTATGAAGAGAGGTGCACGCCATATTGGCCACATTCTATTCAACTGGCATTGCTTCATTATGTTCCTGAATCGTTCTTTGATGCTTGGCGCTTGAAGGATATGCTCCAAATTCGGGAGAAGGGACTACTCAAGGACTCCATTAAGAAAAAGAAATAATAACAATAATTGAACAAAGAAATGCCCTAAATTTTATTACAACGTTATCATTTGCACACTTTTGATCTATCATCTCCTGCTTTGCATTATTATTCTATTTGAAAGTGCTAGTTTGTTTGTTATCTGAAATTGATTCAAGGGGCATCGCATTGAGGGCAGGATTGTGTATTTTTATTTTGATGAATATGATAAATATAAAACACTTCAACATTTAGTTCATAGTTTAAAACTTTAAACATTTGTGACTCCATGTTTTCAACCTGAATAAGTTAACTACAGTAATTTTTTAAATACTGAATCTGGGATGGGGATCATCAAATTAATTGAGGCAAACCAAGAGCCCGTTTGGTAACACTGTTATTCGGCTTATCAGGCTTATCGACCAATTTTTTCATCAAACACGTATCTTTTGATTTCGCGTGCTGAAATGTGTAATACTCCGTAATAAAGAAAAATAAGGTTGAAGTTACTGTAGAGCACCATTTTAGCTATTTTACATATAATTTTTTCTTTATGTTATTAATAAAATATATTTTAAATTTAATTTTTTCATAAATCAGTCAATACAGCCACTTAAGCCAGAACTTCATAATTTTCAGCAGAATCAGCTAATTTCCCTCTAAAGTAAACATTTTACACGTTAATTAAGAGCAATAGATATGATAAAAGTAGAAATGACTAATATGATGAATAGCAGAATTTGTGTTCCTAAAAGGAGCCAAGCAAGATCCCTCATTGGCACGAACATAAAAAAAACATCAACCTCGGAATAGAGAAGCATTTTTTAGAACAAAACTCGTGATCAATGGCTTATTGGCTCAGGGGAGTGTGTCTGTTTTTGTAACAACATCAATGTACCTGACTGAGAACCATAGTACTTGGCAACATAAATCTCAGGCCATTCAATAAGACTTCAGCCTCACATAGAGATTTTTTGTTGGAATGGCCTCATCTGCTGGATTTTTGGAAATAAAAAAGTTTCCTTGGTGACATGCATTTTAACAAAATAAGTCAAAAAACCGCTAATTATACTCAATAAGCAACATAAGGGTGATAAGGCTACCAAAAAAAAGCCTTAACATGCATGCTAAGGACAGCACCTTTCATTTGCCCTTGTCAGGCTTAGGAATTCTCTTGGATTGGTAATTGTTCAAATCAACTTTTTCTTTCAAAGCAAACGTATGGAAGAAAACTTGGGGTAAAACAATTTTATTTTGTTACCAAAGAAAATAAAAGTCAGCAGGTCACATCTACACAGTACACACCCAAAGACACGTTCAAAATTTTCATGCCTTCAATTTATCTTCCAAATTTATCTTTGTGTGGTTATATGCATTGACTGGCCCATCTCTAGAAAGTGATTTTCTTCACTCAATGATCTCCCACTCCCTATCATCCTTCACTTTAGTAATCTGGCCAACAACTTTGTAACCCAATTTGATGGAGCACTATGAAGGCAGCGACAACATGAGAATCAATCTGGCCATGAAGATAGAAATGGGTGACCTAAGTTGCAATATGGGACACAACCGGAGGTACAACATGCCAACACAACCGGAGGTGCATAAGTGCATTGTAGTGATTTCATTTTTTTTAATGAGAGCCTAAATCTTTAGGTGCATTTTAGTGATTCTATTTTTTTGAGTCACAGCCTAAACCTTTAGGTGCATTTTAGTCAGAGCCTATATAATCCATTTAAAATATTCACTACAACTTTAGTGATAAACAGTACACAACAGAAAGAAATTTATAAAATGAGAGAAAAAACTCTAATATTTCCTTAATAATTTCCTGCCCATATTATCAAAACTTGCTATACTTCCATCATTAGCAATGGAGCCAAAGATTCCCTATTTGTTGGCTTGTGAATATGATGAAATAAAGCAAAATGGCTCACTAAATTGTCTGCGCTTCTTTGTTATGAAGCAGCAGTCAGCTCATGCAATTTCCGACGCGATTTTCACTTTGGGTCATCCGGAAACAGTCTCTCTGTGCTTTAGTACAGGGGTAAGACTGTGTACATCTGACCCCCCTTACCCCACCGTAGTTGGGAGCCTTTGCGGCACTGGGGTAATGATGATGATGATTATCAAAACTTGCTATAAGAAAGTATTCACGTATTTTATGTAATCATACATAGATTGCTCAGCTTTTTATAAGAAAACGTTCATAAAATCTTCTAAAGTGGCTAAATATATGAAATAATATGATATAACTATAATAAAAATACATTGGAGTACGTCCAAACTAATATCAGATAGTATAATTTAACTCCATCATATTCTGCCATTACTTTATTACAGATTATAGAAAACCAAGCAACAAAAGTATTCTTTAAGCAATAGCCACATGCTGGAATAATGAAAGTTCCTTATTAGATTGAAATAATAAAAGGTCGCTTCACATTTCGTAAGAATACTCTAGGTTGAGAGAATAGGTTGTGTGTTCTCAAAGAAAACTCAGACATAATTTAGAAATACTATTCAGGTTAATTAACTATACTGTTGTTTTGGACATTTTGTTTAGTTTAGGCTCTATATGGAAAGGGATCTTTTATAAAAAGAGAATTGTTGAGAAGAGAAATACTTGTCGCGGTAGGAAACTTTGCAAAAAAAAAACTCTCCTAATAGATTGAGAAATAGAATACATAAATATGGAAAAAATAAAAACTAAAAGAAGACAAAAAGAATAAAAAAGTGTCTAGGGATAAAAATAAAGAAATAAAACTATCGGGGAGAAAAATGAAAAAATGAAACATGAGACCGTTTTGAGAAGATATGTGCAAGATGGAATCATTCATAAAATGTTTCCAAAAAACGCAAAAAAAAAAAAAAACTTTTATAGCAGGTTATCAATCGATCGGGGACCAACGGAAGAAGATGAGCTGCAAAGATAAGATTATTCTGATATTACATAAATGTGAGATTATTCTTAGAAGATCGCTGAAATGTGGGATTATTATTGTCAATTTTTCTAAATATATTTTAATTTTCAACATGTGAACATAAGATTTGTCAAAAAACACATGTGAACACAAGATATCATCAAACAAATAGTCATAATAATAATGTTTGAAATATTAATAATAATAATAATAGTCATAATATTAATAAAAATAATACTATTTTTTTTGTTTGCTGTTGTTATGATTATGGAATCAACAGTCTTATTTAGTTTATTTCACGTGTCCTCAGGTTTTCATCGGTGCTAAAAATAGTTATAATAATATTAATTGTATTTATATTACTATTATTATATTATAATATTATAATTAATGTTAATATAATTATAATTATTATTAATTATAAATATACTTATAATTATATTATAGTTATAATTTATTATTATAATTATTATTTTTATTATAATTATTAATATTATTATTATTATTGTTACTATTGTAATTACTTTACGGAGTAATTATAATAATATTGATAACTATAGTTACAATTATAGAGATAAATATTGTAATTATAATTACAATTATAATTATATAAGTAATTATAATTAAAAATATAATTACAATTATAATTATATCTATATTTATAATTAGTGTAATATGTATAATTTTTTTCATTTTAAATTTAATTTTAATTATTATTATTATTATTTTTATAGTTACGATTATAATTATAATTTTATTTAAGTTGTATTTGTAATTGCAATTATAATAATTATAATTATAATTATAATCATAGAAATATTCAAATCAGATCAGATCAGAAAGATTCAGATCAGATCAGAAGGATTCAGATCAGATCAGAAACATTCAGATCAGATCAGACCAGATCAGAAACATTCAAATCAGATCAGGAAGATTCAGATCAGATCAGATCAGATCAGAAAGATTCAGATCAGATCAGATCAGATCAGAAAGATTCAGATCAGATCAGATCAGATCGGATCAGAAAAATTCAGATCAGATCAGATCAGAACTTAAAAAATTCAGATCAGAAACATTCAGATCAGGCGAAGAGAACAGCTTCTAAGTGTGAGATGTAAAGCTTATATGGTAACACTTATTTTCAACTTATTACTCTTATAGGTCAACCTTTTATCAAACACGTAATTTTAATTTTGTTCTCTGAATTGTGTAATAATCAAAATAAATAAAGCTGTAATTACTTTTCGGACTAAATTGACTGAAGTTACGGTAGTCAGTATAAGACCATTTTAAGTATTTTTCGTATAATTTTTTCCTTTACTTTATTAATGAAATGTATATTAAATATAATTTTTCCATAATTAAGCAGATTTAATCCATTCAAACATTTCATATAGAATTTTCATCAATTTAAGTATATTCAGTCAATTTCAATGTGATGAAAAGCACTCACCTATCTCAACTCTCAAGGGGCCATCTTTGTAGGCCTGGTAGCTAGTGTAATGAGAGGTCAGATATCTTGAGAATGAAGGCACAGACCATTTTGAAGACAAGAATGGTTAATATCATTGGACCAACAAACCTATTAGTATTTCAAAAGAGAAAATCACTGACTTTGGAACACATAAACCTCCCAGGATCACAACCCGAACTTTCTAAACAAAATCTTGATGTTTTCTCTTTAAAAAACCTTCCAACGCCACTATCAGATTGGTCATATCACATAAGGAACTATGTATCCCAAAAGAAGTATGAAGAAGCCATTTTGCTCTATGCCCGAAACCGCTTTACAAGAAACTTAGTATTAGGTGCCGTACCCCTTGTGCTAAAGGCTTGTGCCTCACTCTCTAATACTGTTCTTGGCAATGCATTACATGGTGATTGTATAAAGTCTGGAGTGGAATTGGATGTAATCGTGGGTACTGCATTGGTTGACATGTATTGCAAATGTGGCAACATTGTGAGTTCGCGCCAGATGTTTGATGATATGCCTAAGAGAAACGCTATCACATGGAATGCAATGATAGGTGGGTATATGAAGAACGGGGATACAACATCTGCATCCATTCTGTTTGAGACTATGCCCGAGAGAACTTCCGTAACATGGAACGAAATGATCCATGGCTATGGGAGAAACAGGGACATAGCGATGGCAAAGATGTTTTTTGATAAGGTACCAAATGAGTTGAGAAATGTGGTGACATGGACTGTGATGGTTGATGGTTACGCTAGCAGTGGGGAGATGGATGCTGCAAGGGAAGTGTTTGAGGTGATGCCGAGAAGGAACTTTTATGTCTGGTCATTGATGATATCAGGGTATTTCAAGGCGGGTGAAGTTAAGAGTGCTAAAGATATTTTTGAGAGGATGACATCAAAGAATTTGGTGATTTGGAATTCACTGATTTCTGGATATACACAAAATGGGTTGTACAAGGAAGCTTTAGGAACATTTAAAAGGATGCAAGATGAAGGGTTCGAGCCAGATGAGGTTACAGTAGTCAGTGCTTTATCAGCTTCTGCTCAGCTGGCTTTACTGGATGTTGGCAAAGAAATACACGAGATGATAATTCAAAAAGGTGTTAATGTGAACTGTTTTGTGCTGAATGGGTTGATTGACATGTATGCCAAGTGTGGTGATTTAAGGAATGCCAGATTGATCTTTGAAGGAATGCTACATAAAAATGACACTGCTTGGAATTCTATGATATGTGCCTTGGCCGTTCATGGAGAACATAAGGAGGCTATCGATTTTTTCTCAAGAATGGTGAACTCTTCTGGTGTGATTCCTAACGAGATTACATTCCTCTCAGTGCTGTCTGCGTGTGCACACGGTGGGTGTGTACATGAGGGTATGGCAATTTTCAATATGATGGAGAAGAATTATGGGTTAATGGCAAACATTAGGCACTATGGTTGTTTGGTTGATCTTTTAGGAAGAGCCGGGAAATTAGATGAAGCTCTTGATTTGATCAAACAGATGCCTATAAATCCGAATGACACAGTTTTTGGATCTCTGCTTGGAGCATGCCGAATTCACTGCAACATGGATATAGCAGAACGTGTGCTTGAGGAGGTTGAGAAGCTGAACTCTAGCAGTCGCTCTTGTGATGGTGGTCATTATGTGTTGCTGTCCAACATTTATGCTGCCTCTGATCGGTGGGAGAAAGCTGAGCATACAAGGTTGTCTCTATCCAATAAAGGGTCCGAAAAGATTCCTGGGTGCAGTTCCGTCATGCTTAAAATCCCTAACTAGAGTATATAATTTGAGTTTTATCACTTTTCTGGCTTCTAAAATTCTTCTCTCAGGTGATGGTAGACTGGGACGTAGCCATGACTATATGTGCATGCGTCGGAACTTATTTTAGTACAGTGTTACCTTTCTACATTTGGACCAGCTAACAATTTGGTTCCAACTTAACTTTCAACAATGGGACACAAAGTTCAACTCAAATGCTTTCCACACATACTACACCGTAGAACATCTCATGACTTATCCTTTCCTCTAGTCTCCTTCATATTCGTCAAGCTATTCACCGATCTTCAATAACCTTTCATATCCTCCTATGAGAAATCATCTCATCAGGCCGGCCTGACGGGCTGCCCCGTCCGGCCGAGCCCGTTTGGGCACCTTCCCGGTGGAATTTTTTGATGAAATTTTTTGAGCATGTTCCCCATCGAGTCTAGTTTGTCCATACCAAATTTCAGCTCAAAATTCGATCGGGAAGGTCGTCAAATGATTTTTGCAAGTTAACTGGTCCGGAATATGTATTTTCCGGACCAGTTAACTTGCAAAAATCATTTGACGACCTTCCCGATCGAATTTTGAGCTGAAATTTGGTATGGACAAACTAGACTTGATGGGGAACATGCTCAAAAAATTTCATCAAAAAATTCCACCGGGAAGGTTCCCAAATGGGCTCGGCCGGACGGAGCATCCCGTCAGGCCGGCCTGATGAGAAGAGCACTCATCCTCCTATATCCAGCAGGTATTTAATTTTCTACACTCCATCCTCTTAGCTATTTTTTTGGTTGTGAGGTTACTGTGCCTAGTGGGAGGTCTCTAGTTCGAAACCCGCTAGGCACATAAGGGTTCGAAACTCAATGGAGTGAGTTTCAACCCTATTTACTCCAGGCTCCCCCACCCCCCCTCCCCCAGACCCCAGAGTAAAAAAAAAAGTAGTGAGTCTTTGGCTTCATTGCAACTATATCATTATATTTCACAATTTTAAATATGCTTTCTGTTCTTTGTTGTGTTAATATCTGCTTTCTTTTTCACGTTGGAATCTTATAATGTGATAATATTAACTAATCTTTGTCTCTTTCAGGATGGAAAATCAAGAAGATGGACCAGAGCATTAGTGTAGTGAAAATATCTTGCACATCTTCTCAAGAAGTCCACTTAACACGGCATCAAGAAGTCCATGGACCAGGTAAGTTTGAAGTTTGTAAAGCAACTTGGGACCAACAAAAGCATCTTGAGAATGTTATGGCACTGAACACCTCACTTAATAAGCCTCCTCTACTTTCCTACGTATTTTAGATATCTATTCAAACTCATTTTAGTTTTTCAATCATTTCCAATGAAGCCAAACACTCGCTATTTTTTTAATTGTGAATATGATGGAATAAAGCAAAATGGCTCACTATTTTTTGACTTATGAATATGTCGGAGTAAAGTAAAATGGCTTACTATTGTATTACTTGTGAATATGATGGAATAAAGCAAAATGGCTCATAAATTGTCAGAGCTTCTTAGTTATGAAGCAGCAGTCAATTCATGCAATTTTTTACGTGATTTCATCATGGGCCATCGAGAAACAATCTTTGTGTGCTTTAGTGTAGGGGTAAGGTTGCGTACATCCGACACCCCCTTATCCCACCGTAGGTGGGAGCCTTTGCAGCACTGGGGTAATGTAGTTGTTGTTGTTCAAACTCATTTTAGTTCTTAATTTCTTTAAATTCAGCGTAAGAAATCTAAATGCATTTTTTAAAGGTGTTTGAATAAAAAATGATTTTCCAATCTATTTCCAAGGTAAATAAAAATTAATAGTTCTAATTCCCTTGCATACTTTTCATTCCCTTTAGTTTTCCAGGGTTGCAGAGCTTGAAGAACCAGCATCTTTGGGCAACAAATTGCTAGAGGGCTTTCAGCTAGGACTTGGTGAGATCCATGAAATCCATCTAGTAACTGATAGGAACAAACGTTCTGTATAATTTCTTTTCTTTTAGTCATGCATGCCTGTTTCTCATGCAGAATATGTTCTAAGATCTCTGACTGAAGAAATTGACATGGTAGAATGCATATCATCATTACCCCAGTGCCGCAAAGGCTCCCCCATCTACGATGGGGTAAGGGGGGCTCGGATGTACGCAGTTTTACCCCTGTACTAAAGCACCGAGAGACTGTTTCCGGATGACCCATAGTGAAATTCGCGTAGAGAATTGCATACACTGACTACTCCTCCATAATAAAGAAGCGCAGACAGTTTAGTGAGCCTTTTTGCTTTATTCCTTCATATTCTCAAGCCAAAAAATAGTGAGTCTTTGGCTCCATTGAAAATGATGGAAATACATGGTAGAATGCATATTTGAATAAAATAATGAAACCAAGAGGATGCGATCCGGATATCGAAGTTTGATTCAAGGATACCAATGACAGTATTCAGAGTTAAAACAAGTGTAAGTGTCTTGTGCTCATATTCATGTGCAAACCACATAATGTGATGGAATTCAAGATTGGGTTGAGGTCATTTAACTCGGTCATATCAGAATCAGGACAAACCACACCAAACAAAAGATTAAGTCCAATTGATTAGCTAATCTTACCCAAGACCCTACAAGTCATTCTCCCTTTGATATTTAGATTGTGGCACTCTAACACAATACATCCATTTTTAATACCCTGTCATCATAAAAAAATTGTTTTCTGTTTGCAGGAGTGCATGTGTGCCACCGTGGACTTCAGAATCATAAGTCAAAAGGTATTGCACACCCAGAAACTGCATTCAAATTCATTGTTGATGTTTTTCATCAATAAATAGATCATTTGATATAGTATGCATCCATATCTTCCTGAACAAAATCTTTGAACTGTGGTATTGCATATATGATTGATTGCAGCAAGGACAATTCTATTTACAGCCATTTTTTTACTAAATACAGCCAACATATTTAAATATATAATAAAAATAAATCTAATCAGCAATTATATCCTTTCAAGGTATAATCACCAACACAATTCTGTCTAATCACCAATTATGCAACTTGGCTCCAAGGTTTATAAAGGCTAGTTCGGTTATCGAGGCGGTTTGTTGCGGAGCGGCGAGGCATAAGCCTCAAAGCATATTGAGGCGTAATCCTCAAACTATACCAATAGATAAAACATACTATCGTATAATAGTTAAACTAGTAATCAACAACTAAAGAAATGGATAATTATAAGTCCAAAAAGTATCAAACACAAACACTAGTATAAACACAGATTTTCCTCATCATTGGTTCAAAAAGTTCAAAAAGTATCACAATTTAAGGAGTCCATCTTTCATCTTGTAAAACCTTGACCAGTTCTAGGAGAAGATGACCAACTGCTTAGTACAAGAAGAAAGAGGAGAGAAGGAGAGGAATAAGAGAAGTAGAGGAAATAAAGAAGGAGAAGAGATGGAGAAGAAGAGGAGGAGCAGAAGAATGGACTGTTTGTAACTTGTTAGTAGTCTGAAGTAGTATGAAAACTTCTGTGTGCAGAAATATGCAAACATTTTAACAATAGCTAGTTCAGTTTAATTTTATTTTAGTTTAACAATATGCAGAATGGACAAGAACCGCATACTGGAATATATCTGTTGCGGTTTTTCAAAATTAGAGAATGAATTGCTTGATTTCAGTCCCAATAGCAAGTTCAGTTTAATTTTATTTTATTTTTTTAAATTTGTTGGTCTATAGCAGACCCACAAGTCTTGATTTATTTCCTCTTTGCAATGTGAAACTCCTTCGTTGAAATTTGATATGAGACCACTTGTTTGCTTCATTATCTATTTTTATTTCCCTTATTTAAAAAAAGATATAAATTGTGGGTCTAAGCCGTGTGGGACAAGGATGATGGTCGGGGTGGTTTTTTGGGAAGAGACCTCTGCTTCAAAAGAGACACGTTCTTTGAATTTAACACTTTTTGTGAGTATAGCTAAAATGAAGTATTGAAGAACGCCTTTTGATATCACATAGAAGCATGAAATGACAAGAGGGTACTTTAAAAAAATGGAGATGAAAATGTACCCGAGAGGGTAATAACATTTTAGAATAGAATAATGCATTTTCTATAAAGGCTACACACATGAAGAATTACATCAATTCATTAAATTTGTGTATTTTCAAGAATATTAAATTATATATTCGTGAGAGTGATTGGATGCTATAATACAATTGAGTTTTGAGCAAATCATGTGATGTAGTATATTGTCATAAACGTCAGGGGTATCAACTTTACATAAAGGGGTATCAACTTTACATACAGAAACCTGAGGTCAAGCCCACTAAGGCCGAGCTTGAATCCGGTTCTCAGATCATCGAGATAAATTCGAAATTGCGGTCGAGGCTGAGCTCGCTACTCAAGCCGAGGTTAGGGTCAATTCCGGTATGGGAACTTAATCCGAGCATTCGAATATGAGTTAGGCATCTCTATACCCAGGCCAGCTCAGAGACATACTCCCTCCGTCCCAATTTGTAAGATACTTTACGGTTTACGATGTTTGACCGATGATAAAGCGAATTGATCCCTGTCAACACTCAAATTAGTTTTAGATAATAAAATTTACATATTCGGAAACTACATTAAAACCGCTACAAAACCTGCAAAAAATAATTCAAATTTCATAAACTTTTGATATATAAACTAAAAGATTAAGAGTGGTTTATGTTGACCAAGTGAATAGTAAATGTATCTTACAATTTGGGACTGAGGGAGTATAAATTTGTGGACTTGGTCATTTTAGCACTAACATTCTTAGTGAAGTAAAGGTATAAAGGCAACATCAGCGGGGAATAACCAACTCTAGGGTTGATGTCATTCGTATTTGTACCGCAATCAGCTGTCGACATACACGTGTGGCGTATCAAGCTATTCTATTAGCAAAGGATAATTACGCAACAATCAGTGTCAATCAATAAATCAGATATTCTCTATATGTGGCATTCTCTTATTAGATCAATTAGTTTTACTTGTTCCCCAAGTTTTTCATATTTCAATATAAATTAAATATCACCTTTCAATTTGTAAAAAAGGATCAACCCAATATTCATTTCTAGCATATTGTTACTCTGATAAATTTTATACTCACCTCATACTTGTGTTGTCGACTCAAGTTGGGACTTACAACCCCTAGTCTCAAGGACCATCATCATGTTTTTATAAAGCCCAACTCGTAACGGGTTTTATAAAGGACCCCATTCATAACAAGTTTGAAACTTGCACGTCAAAGTCCAAGCCTAAGTTTGAAGTTCTGCTTCGTGTACACGACATTGTACACGCTGATAATATTGTCTATATATACACAATTTGACCGGCGTTTTATGAAAAAAATCGATTTTCACACAGAATTTTTTTTGTCTATGTCATAGACAATTTAAAAAATATACAGCCAAATTTTTTATCTGTGCAAAAATTGGTTTTCTTCATACCACGCCGGTCAAATTGTCTGCATACAAAGCAATTTGACGGTGTATACAATAGCGTGTACAAACTCTCGTGTACAAAGAGCATTTTTCAAGTCCGAAAGGTAGACCATGCGCGTGTATGCACTATGCATGTGAGCGTTATTCCATAATTACAATACATTAGACTATTTACACATTCTAAATTTCTAATCACACAAGATTTCTGATCCTAAGTCCCCTCCTCATCCTGATATTAAGTAAACCACATAAAGTTGTTCTCTTTATTGGATCATTGGATGAGTCAATATTTACCTTCACATCCACTAGAATTGCAATTTTAGTCCCATAACTTTCGGTTGTGCCTGTTATTAGTCGTGTGACTTCACTGGGTTGTAGATTTGATCCTGTAATTATTAAATCTTTGTAATTTAAGTACTTTCCACCGGAATATATACTTTTTGGCAGAAAATTCGATGTCATTGACATCTGTCTCGGCACTTTTACGGCCCAAAAGTGTATTTTCCGACGGAAAAGTCTTTAAATTGTAAAGATTTAAGGGGTAAATTCCCAAAATAGGATGAAAAAAGTTCGAAAATTCCAAAATAGGACTGTCATGTTTTTATTCCCAAAATATGAGTAATTACTGCCAAGTTTGGAAAATACAGTCATGTTTAAAGTCTGGTACTGCCAAAACATGGTTGTAATTAGTCCTATTTTGGAATATACATACGTTTTTTGTCCTATTTAGGATAATTTCCCAAGATTTAATAAGCACATAACCAAATTTGCAACTGAATAAAACTACAGGACTAATAACGGGCACATCCGAAAGTTACAGGACTAAAATTGCAATTCTCTCTTTATTGAGCACATCGATATTAAGAGCTCATTCAAACATATTGTTAAATATTGTGTTTCAACATCAAATTCTAACTATATCTCAATGAGATATATCAACTCCTAGCTACTATAACCTAATAGCAACAAATTAAGGATTTATATATCACTCCACCATGGAATCGTATACTTTCTCCTTTTTGTTGCAAAGCTTTCATTTTTATATTTGTCATCGCACAAATTTGGCATCTATTTTATTCTCTATTAGTAAAATATAAAAAAAAGATTGAAAATTAAAAATTAGAGGAATTTAACAATATTTTTAAATATTTTTAATAAGTAAAATATTTATGCGCATAGTGAAAATTTTAACTTGTTCCAAAGATTTAAAGAAGAAAGGTAGTATGTGTATGTGTGTGAGAGACTTTATCATAGATTCATAGTCATTCATTTGTATAGTGAATTACTACGTATATTGGATTCTGTTTTTTGTTAGTAAAGCGCTTGTGAGATTCTATAAATCATATTAATACAAGAAACATGCAATAAAAGTATGTTGCGAGACTATATTCGTTAATACAATCACACATTTTATTCTCTTCAATTATACTGTGTAGCAGGGATGTGTAGTGTGTCCGACCGCACAGGGCCCAAAAATATGGAAGGCCCAGAAAAAAAAATTAATAGTAGTATTACTACTAGTCTAGTCTACTACTCCGTATAAGCTAGTCAGCCCAATAGTGAACAAAAAGGTGCGGGACGAGCATAGCAATCTGCGAAAGAGGAAGCGCATAGGCCAAAGGGCATAACGAGTGACTGAGCGAGACGAGCGACGTGCGGACGACTCTCCGTCTCCAGGCTCTGCTCCAGCCTCGAGCCATCTTGATTTCTAAGTTGCTGCGGCGATTCGGACGCATCTAGGACGGAAGGACTCCACTATTCTAGGTAAATTCATAACTGATAGAGAGTAATGATTCTTTATGGATTAATTTTGTAATTTGAGTTCAACAAAATGATATTAATAGGTTCTTAGGCTGTTAAATTTGTTTTTGTTTCACTATATAACTTTATACGCAAATAATTTTTTTTCTTGGATTTAGTACTGTTAGTTAATACTAGCAACTTCTATTTTGAAATAATTTTTAATAAATTACTACTACTCCGTATTAACAATTTACCATTTCAATTGAAATAGCATTTCTATTAACGATAGAAAAGAAATGTCTGATTCTTGTTGTTGCACAGGGTCCTCGTTTTCTCGGGACCGGCCCTGCTGCGTAGTATTTTATTCGTTGTTTGGCGGAAGGTAATGAAAATGTGGAATCAAGATGCATCAGCATAGGCGTATTATATGCAAATGTATTTTGCATTTCGCAATGAAAATTTTCTTGCACCATTTGACACCCTTATATTCGTAAATGCATTTTGCATATATTACTCAATCGATTGTCATTTGGGTATTGTTAAGGCCCCATTTGAAAATTTTAGAGTTTGTAGTTTTCAGTTTTCTATTTCTTGTTTTCTTTTCTTTGGGAATTGAAAATCAGATTTTGTAGTTCAAGAAAAATGAACATCCTTTTTTAATGACTATAGTTTTTAAAATTAACATACCTATTCAATGATGCAAATACTCCGTATTTTTTTACTTTATCAAATATGATAAAATAAGACATTACCCTAAAAACTGATAACTTGCCATTTTTTTTTTTTGCGAGTGATAACTTGCCATTTTGAGTGGATGCCAATTTTTAGACACATGACTATAAGTAGTCATGGACTCGGGTCGGGCCGCCCGGCCCGGAACCGGTACTGTTTGGGCCCGGCCCGGCCCGGTAACCGGTTATAGGACTGGTCCGGGCCACCCGAGCCCGGAATTAATCGGACCGGGCTCGGGCCACCTAAAAGTGGAACCAGTCTGGTCTATTTTTTTTGTATTTTTGGTTTTTTTCAATTTTTTTGGTTTCTGCCGGGTTGGTCTGGGTGTTTTTGGGGGGTGAAGGGGGTGGGGGTGGGGGTGAGGGAGGGGGGTCGGGGGTTAATTAGAAAAGCAAAAGAAATTTAAAAAAAATAACATGAACCGACCCGGCCCGGACCGGCCTGGAACCGGTGCCTACCCGGGCCGGTTCTTCCTTCCCAAAAAAAGCCTACCTGGTCCATGACTAACTATAAGAGCTCATTAAGAGCATCTCCAATGCTACAATGTGCACAGTGCACATGTAGCATGAAAGATAACCACATAAATATTAGTAAATAAATTATTTCTCTCCTTGTTTGAATGATTTTATACAGTTTTGATAAATTTTTCTCTATAATGTCAAGGAGACCGTCTACATGTTGATATTGCATGGAAATACTTACCAAACGTGTATAAAATCATTTAAATAAGGAGAGAGATAATTTATTTGCTAATATTTATGTGGCTATTCAGGGGCAGACCCAGAAAATTCATGTTGGGGGGCTGAAAATATTTTTTGAGGGCGAAAATTATTTTTTGAGGGGGCAAAAATTATTTTTCTTATATATATACACTAAAAATAAATTTTGGCGGAGGGGCGGTAACCCCCCTGGGTCTGTACTACGATCCGCCCATGTGGCTATCTCTCATGCCACATGTGCACCGTGCACATTCTAACATTGGAGATACTCTAATAAGGGGTAGGGTACTTTAGTAGTTTTAAAGCTGAAGAGCTCATCAAAGTCTTCATAATCGATTGGTAATATAATCAGAAATTGCTCTAAATATTTATAAAAATAATGTGACTTTTTTAAACAGAAATATTACGTTTTCCTCATAAATAGAAGTAATTATCTTCATGCTTAGAAATAGTGTCCAACTATATCCTTAATATTGTCATATATGTGTGTATAGAGAAATCATCATGTCAGGCCGGCCTGACGGGCTGGCCCGTCCGGCCGAGCCCATTTGGGCACCTTCCCGGTGGAATTTTTTGATGAAATTTTTTGAGCATGTTCCTCATCAAGTCTAGTTTGTCCATACCAAATTTCAGCTCAAAATTCAATCGGGAAGGTCGTCAAATGATTTTTGCAAGTCTAGTAGCCGTTGAAAAATGATCATTTTAACTTTGTATTACGAGTATTAGTTATTCTTTATTACGGAGTACTCCGTATTATACAAACTATAGTGGGATGACGTGCCAATGAAGTGGTGGTGATATGGAAACGAGTGACCCATGACATGTCAGTGAGATGTAAGAGAGTGTTTGCAATAGCTTCCGCTTAAAAAAAATACTTTTGGAGTGATTTGGAAAAAGTGATTAGTAATAAAAGTCGATAGTGTTCGAGAAAAAAAATGATTTTGAAAAGTAAAAGTTGATAGTGTTTGATAAAATAAGTGTTTTTTGTGTAATAGAAAAGGGAAAAAGATTTTTCACGTGAAAGCCGAGAAAAGTAAATATTGGTAGTGTTTGATAAATAAGTGTTTTTTTAAGCCAAAAGTCGGGAAGTGATTTTTTCTAAGTTGTTGCAAACCAACCCTAAATGGTGAGCAACTCATATGGTAACGTGTTAATCATGTTTAAAATGCCAAATAGGTGTTTTCAGCACACTAATGCTAAAGCTACCTCATTTTGTACAATTGTACCTCCACCTATGTTTGTGGTTCATAAAAGCAATGAGTTAAAATGGAGCAATTATTTTAATTGGGTTGGATTTTTGTGGGTCACAAACATAGGATGAGGTACAAAATGAGATAGAAAATGGGATAATTTCTCTTTTCAGCAAGATCATGTGACTGTGATTAGGTGTGTATTAAGTATGTCTACCAACCAAATTGACTATTACTGTTCTC